CGGTCAGTGATTCGCCCCAAGATGATGGAATATGCTCTTGCGTCCAGATGTTGCGCAGTAGGTACTTTCTTGCTACTTGGTAAACCTACTGGCTTTAGGAATAACAACGCGTGCATACAGACACACACACACACACACACACATTCCGCCTTGATATGACCCAGCGATAACTTTCCCAAGAACTCTGTAAGCATCCTTCTCGGTTCCGTTAGGTTTCAGTTGTTTATACAGTGTGGGTCTGTCGAAGAAACCCACTTCCCACATCCCGTAAAAGCTGCGCAGATCAGAGAGACAATTAAATAATAAAACAGTGAGACTAAATCTATACAAGAAGACCAGAGATACTCCCTAATAATTCATTGAAGGAGTAGTTTCTTTGAGATCTAGAAACCCGTAAGAATATTAAACCGGCGGAAGGTATAATAAAGAATAATTGCTGAGTAACTTTGTCTCAGTTAAAATCAGAATATGAATTCCTTGTTTTCGATTCTGAAATTTTGTTAGGATCAGTCTGGTCTCGAAGCACAGCAGCCAAAATTCCTCCAGTGGGCAATGCTTTCGTTTCGCTAACATGGGATAAGGAACAACTTAGTGAACACTGCAAGGTGACGGCAGTTTCCATACGTGACGAATACAAGACAAGAAAAACTTGGTTTTTATCCATGAGTTATGTCTGATTCAGAGTAGACACATGAAGGCAAACACCCATATCATGTATGAAATATTAGGGAGAGAGGCGTACACTTACCTCGGACAACAGTCGCTTTAATCCCTCCAGTTCTTCTTCTCCTGGGTGAAGTTCGCCACCTGGCAATTTGAAAAATGTGCCCAATTGCAGGAGTAATACGTGGGGTAAATTGTGCTCGTGAACTAGAAGAACTCCTTCGACCGAACGGCGCATTCCATATTTCTCAAAATCCTCTTGTAAACGTTGGAAACGTGCAGGAACGCTACGATCGCGTTCATAGTTTGGATCTTTGGTTCCGAAACTGTAGCTTTTCAATGGATATCTAACGGNAGCTTTTCAATGGATATCTAACGGTATGATCGAGAAATGGATAGACACAGAACGGAAATAGAGCATTACTGAGGGAGAACCACTAGGACCAGAAGAATTTATTCCAATGGTTCACAAAATTTTTGGATATTGAAAAGGTTAAAATAATATTAATGGCGCAGAGTGCTAACTTCAGTTCATTTTGGTTCAGTTTTTAGCACCTTTAACTATGCATCATCGTGCTGCGGTTAAGGTTGCTGTCTTTTGGATGCTCCTATGGATGATGGGGTAGAAAAAAATTAGAAAGTTGAATCGCAGGGGAAATGGAGAATTTCAGTAGACTGAGGTTACAAAGAAACTGTTTACAACACTTAGTCATATCAATCAGCATCTCTAACCACTGA